ACTGCAAACCACAGGTTTCATTTTTTAGCTACTTTCCAGAGGAACCTCAGGGGTTGGTCCACAGATTCTGGGGGTTGGTCAGATCAGAGGCTGATCTACATCCACACTCCCCATCCTGTACCACTGTACAAAACCATTCCACACCAGTTGAGGAAGGTTTCTGACCCTCTCAGTTCAGCACCCTGTGCACTAAAGCTCCCCACAGGTAACTTCACAGTGCTCACAACTCACCAGTGCAGGCTGTTGCTATTTCCTTATTTACAAACTGGTAACATTTTCTATAAAGAGCAAAACATTAGCATGCATTTTGCTATCAAACCCAACTTCCATCTGCCTCCATACAGCAAGCAGCAACAGCAGCAAAATGTGGTTTTAAAGGACTTACGATTTGTAGAATAAGCTGTAGGGTGGGTTGGTGGCCATCAGCTGGGTTATAACTGACACTATTATGATGATGAAAACTGGCATCAGCTGGATAAATGCAGAGTATGAATTCTGAAAAGTACAAGGATTAGCAGTCAAAAAAATACAGAGATGGTAAAAGGCATCTGTTCACAGAAGCCAGGCTATCAATCACAGATCAACAACGTGTTACATGTAAACTCTGAGGAAAAATGAGAAGGTACTTTGGGATTTTGAGAGGCATGACACTGTAATTTCTAAACAACCTTTATTAATAATATCAGAACACTTTTGAACATCATTTTCTTTCCATTATCTTTTACTCTGCCCCTTCCTTCACAGTGCCCATGGCACTATTGTACCTGTCAGTGTCCAATCCAGCCTGCAGGAACACCCTGCAATTCCTGTGTGCCTGTGGCTTTCCTGCACCCTCTGAATTTGCTCTCCATTGTAAAGATCTCAGCCTCTGCTCAAGCAGTAAAGGGTTAAGAGCTCCCATGAAGTGTAACTTCAGACAGGATGCAAGCACTGGGGCTTTTGTTTGGATTAATTTAGCAGAACAAAAGAGTGGAAACACTATCAAAGAGAAAACACTGATCTTTCCTTCTGCACTTCCATTTCTTTCCAAACTGGCTTCTAAAGTGCCTTTTCTTACGCAGAGGAAAATATCATATTCAGCTATGTAGGCTTTGCCCTCTGCCCTGAGATAGCAACAAGGATTCCTGAGGCAGCAGTAGGTGGGATTCACAGATCTCAGGATCAGAAATTGGAAAATTCCTCCCAGCCCATCGAGTCCCAGCTGTGTCAGTGCCACCTCCAGCCCTTCCTGGGACACCTCCAGGGATGGGCACTGCAAACCTCCCTGGGCAGTTCCAATCCCTGAGCTCCCTTTCCATGGGGAAATTCCTGCTGCTGTCCACCCTGAGCCTCCCCTGGCCCAGCCTGAGGCCGTTCCCTCTCATCCTGTCCCTGTTCCCTGGCAGCAGAGCCCGACCCCCCAGCTGTCCCCTCCTGGCAGGGACTTGTGCAGAGCCAGAAGGGCCCCCTGAGCCTCCTTTGCTCCAGGCTGAGCCCCTTTCCAGCTCCCTCAGCCTCTCCTGGGGCTCCAGCCCCTTCCCAGCTCCGTTCCCTTCCCTGGACACGCTCCAGCCCCTTGGGGGTGGGGGCTTCACTTTCCTGAAGTGAGGGGCTGGATTCACTTCCCCCAGCTTAGCTGTCTATCAGCCGTACCAGGTTTTTTTTTTCTGAGCCTGAGACTCAAAAGGAAAATCTCATCTTCCTTGGAGAATGATCCCTGGAGGTTAACAGACTGTCTCCAGAGGAAGATCTTGCTAAGGCAGGTGGCAGGTGTGTATGTGCACTGACAACAAAGGACACCTTGTGCCTCAGCTGGCAGAAATGTGTCCTAAGCCCATCCTGTCCCCAGCTGGAAAAGGCCTGTGCAGCCCCTGGGTGCTCATTTATTGAAGGATTAAATACACCTTGAGGACAAGGCACTGCTTCCACATCCATCATCAGTTCCCATTTGGACTAACTGCTGTTGCATTACCAAGCACTGGAGCTTGCAAAAAGCAAGAAGCAGCAAAACCCTCAGTGACAGAAACTGGAGGGCCTGAGATGCTATAAATACAAAGAATTTTTACAGCAGTGATTAATAAAAGCCAATCCAATGACAAAGAAAACACCCACTGTGGCTGCAGCCCTTGAGGACAAACACTGAGCACTCAAGCATGGGAGGGTTTGACCTGGCTTTGGAAGAGGATCCCTTGCCCTGCTGAGATGTTTAAATATTTAAGCTGAGGAGATGTCTCCTCCTGACCTGTGGCCTGTGCTCCTCCTCCTCTGGCTCCTGTGTCCACGCCCTCTCGGCCCGGTGCCTCCGTGGGTAATAGTGAGCATCTCTGCCTACGTT